TATTATATAATATTGGTATAGAATAATCATTATGTTATAATATTAAAACTTCTTATCTAAGCTATGTCTTAACTATACTAAATAAAAAAATATCTCCCAGATTGCCAATAGGTATGGTGTCCAGAGGCTGCGTGCGTGGTAATAAGGTTTCGTGGCATAAGTGAAGTGAGTTTCGAAATGACATAGGAATAGAATATCTGAAACACGTATATTCATTCAATTTTGTTTTGTATTTTTATACAAAAAATGAGATGAATAGAATTTCTACACTGAATAACGTGAATTCGTACACATGAGTGAATTTCAATTTGGGTCTGGCTTTTTACAGGATCGCTGGGCTGATCACCAGACCCGTCAAAAAGTCAATTTTCAATTTTATTTTCTGTCTGTCTGAAATTTTAGAATCGCGTGGAAACATCTAGTGTGCTCAGGTTAAAATAAAACTTCTTAATTGACGTAAAAAAAGGTTGAAGCCGTTTATGATACAAAAACTTATATTTCAATTGATAAACTGTCAACTGAAAATGTATAGTCTAACTCTTAATCTATGAAATTTGACAAGTAACAATCTAAAATGTAGACTTCAAACATTAAACTTCAAAAATTAAGTTCAAGTGTGGTATCGTATGAAAAGCTTGATTTGCAATTTTTAGAACATATTTTATTTAATTTCGTAACTATAAGGTGCAAAATTATATATGTCACGACTTCATAGGGTCTTATGGGGCTCACTTCATAGAAGTCATCCCTAGGAGTCATCCCTATGAAGTGAGTCCCATAAGACCCTTTCACTGGGTAAAAGATAGAAATTCTATTTAGTCTGTCAGTTAGATAATAGAAAAATATTAGAAACGTATTTTCTGCTTTAATTTAAACAAGAAATGACTCAGATAATAGGCACTAAAGTTGAGGAGTGGAGGCTTGCTACGTCCCAATTTTGTAGAAAATGTTCAAAAGCTTGACGTCATGCCAAATTCCAACTCAATGTACAGCCATAATTTATTGATTACGCAAAAAAAATGTATTTAATATTCTTCATTATTCTACCAGATGGACAAAAAAATAACAAAAATAAGTCGTCATGTAATACCTACAACCGCCAACAGTATGAAACAACTGATATTTTTTTTGTGATTTCAGTAATCACTTCATTCATGTGAACACATTCTTTCCACGAAGTCCTAATTTAATGAACATTTCATAGTAAAAATTTCGCAAGCTAAAGGAGATTAAATAACTTTAGCTTTACATGGCACTGGTTAAGAGTTTGCTTGAATATTTAAGTGTGGTATGGGCTCCTTTTTACAAAATACATATTGCTAATATTGAGGCTGTACAGAATAAACTATTTAGAATTCTATGTAGCCGTTACGGATACCGTAGAAAACATACAACAATTATTTATGAAGATAAATTAAATTTGACGTCTATAGTTTGTCTATTTAAGTTGGTTAACTCCATTATAGACTCTCCGTACTTGATTTCTTGTTTGCAGTCCTTTTGTTATCAAAGTTTGCACCAATAACACAACCTTCTACAACCCGATCGTCAGAATGTGTCGCACATTCAACCGTATATCCTCCATGTGTAATTGTCTAGATATTTTCCATCTTAAGTTGTCAAAGTTTAAAAGAGTATTATTGGAAAATATTAGATGTTTATAATTTTTTTTTTAACTAGCTCCCTCGGTGAGGCGAGTTACGATTCGAAATAATATAATTTAAATGAATATGAATTAATTTCACTAGCTCTTTTTTATAATTTTTTTTTTATTATTTATTAATATCAATTTTAGTTATTAAATTCTTCTGATTTGATCAGATTTCAATTTGTCGCAATTCATTATGGTTATAATATTGTTTTATGTCTAATTCACTCATTACTATAGATTATCCGTTATAACAATTACAAATAAAAGTTTAATTATATGTACATAATATTAAGAATTATGATCCTGTGTAATGTTTTATATATATTATCTTTTATTAAATATATGACAGTAAATTGTTTTAGGTGCCAATAAATAAATAAATTTAAATTCGAATAGGTATTTATCTAATGTCTATTTTAAGAATACACTCTCAGATACCGACAAAGATCTAAGACGCACTATTTTTGGAAGTAACTCAATTAAATGACCGTCAGATATGGACGCCGAAAGTGCGATAAAGTTTGTATATTCGTAGCTAAAATGATGAAATGTCAATGCTTTTGTTATAAATTTATAAAGTCGCGTTTACACGGCATCTAAATTGAACTGTAAAAACGTTACCATAAATACGAATTCATGATCTCTTATAATCAGTGCGGTTTTCGGCGCTAGAACTGACGCCAGTTACTGACTGTGTAAACGCATCTTAACATCGAAGTTTACAACTTGCCAAATATGAATGTTGTTAGTCAATAGTTTATAAAATAATAATAAATTAGCTTCAACATGGCCACCTGGATTAATTACATATTTCTGATAGTGACTGAAATAGATATACCGGGCCTACAAATCAAGTGTTCGATGCCTATACAAGCACCTATCAAAAGGAGTGGTACAATTTAAGTCCAAACATCTATCACCCATATCAACATTATGAAGAATCAAATTTTTCTGTTTGTTTTAAGAAACAGAAAAATTTGCGAAGTTGCGGGGCAACAGCGGGTTAAGTCACGCAATGGAGGATCAAAAGTTAACAAACCCCAGCTTAGCGCCTCCCGGCACCTTTACCTTGAGGGGAGTAGGTGCTGTTACAGTTTTATCATAACGCAAAATGCTTTAATGCCATGACGTCATTAATAAGGAAACTGCAATTTTCTTTTGTCTTTTTTCACAATGCTTGACAAAAATATTGTGTTGAATTTATCACAAGGTTTATGAATTTTTAATCAGCAATTAAAGCGTAGAAGATTAATAGATACGGACAGTGCATCACGCACCGGTTCGAGTCCCGGTGGTATTCAAGTTGGTAAGTACCCTCGATTGTATATCAGAGTTCTACTGCGTGTACTCTAGGTGACAATGTAATCTTAATTGATTGCTTTTTCGATCTTTAAAAAAAAAATAGCACATCCGATTAAGCCCCAGCGTGAGGTCTCAGCCATTTACTCGCTACCTCATCAGTCATCAAAAACTTTTAGCACTTTTATTACAAACAAAACTGAAGTAACTTGATTGGCCAGATTCAAGAAAATGGGATCAACCTGTTGGATAGATGGCGAAACCTTGGGACCGCGTGCGGACCACACACACGCACACATCTTAATCAAAATATTATTAATATGTATTCAAATAAGCGAATTTGTGTCTTATCATAATAAGACAAATAGCAATATAAGTTATCTATCTTTCTGAAAAATATTGTTGGGTTGTTTATGCAAGATTTATGTGATCTAAGCGTGTCCAACTTAGTGTGTAGATCGTAATAATTGATGTAATCTCTTAAAAAAAGATGATTCTTATTATTATTATTCGTCAGAAAAGTCAATAAGAACCTGTGAGCGGTATAATTATGAAAGTATCTTCAGATTAATCGTTTTCTTTCCAGACACATCGGCTAATGCAATGTGACTTTCGGCAATCGCTGAAACAATAGGAGCGAATTCGTGTCACTACGTAGGAAGTGTCACTATTATTACGTTCTTTTTTTTTAATAAAGATCACCACGGGCGGTTGTCATTGGTTTACTATTGATTGCGAGAACCGTCAGTAGGTCCAGCTGTGGAAACGTACAATCAATGTGTTACATAGATATTTAATTGTTTTCCTATTAATTTTATTTTTACACTATAGTTTCTAAAATAATTTAAAAACTATTTTAAAACGCTGTTTGAGATATTTATAACAAGCTTTAACATATATCACATTATATAGTTTGTATATTGCTATTTGTCTTATTTATAAAAAGACGAACTCCGTAACATAGTTATTCGCACGCCGGTTTCAATATGTCGCCATCTCTGAGGTCCCGGGTTTGATTCCCGGTCGGGTCAATGTAGAAAATGAACTTTTCTATATTGTCCCTAGTCTGGGTGTTGTGGTACCTCCGTAGTCTCAGATACTCCGTAATACTGGGGCTTTAGGTACTTATCTTGGAATCTGAGCGATGTATGTGATGTTTATTAAAAAAAAAAGTATATTTTTTCAAATCCATTTTAGTATCTATATATATATAACTAGCTTTCCGCCAGCGGGTACGCCTGCGTGGTCTTTTATTATACATATGAATCTCCCTCTTGAATCACTCTGTATATCGATGAAAACGTCATCAAAATCCCTTGGCTAGCTTAAAAGGTCACAGCGCACAGATAGCGAGAAAAGACTATGTATAGATAGGCACTGACTTAGTCCAGAACCTACACTATTAATATAGGTAATATGTTTCTAAAGAGATATTTTTCCCACTTAAGCTTTTCCAAGAAATTTGTAAACGGGTCATATTTTGTCTTATCTAAAAGTCAGTAATGTAAGGTTTTAATCAGAATAAATATTGAAATAAAAATAAAAAACAAAAGAATTTTTATCTCTTTTCTCTTTCCTAATTAATCTTGAAATTACTTTCCTTTTAATTTTAATCTCGTTAGTAATAATTTTTTTCCTAAACAATCTTTTTTTTATTATTTTGTCTCAATCAAACGATTATTTCAATGAAAATTTATCACACGAGGATTCTAATCAATAGACGAAATTGCAAGCTAACAATAGAGTTATTCTTATTATTTATAATTGATTATAATATTTTTACTTTCCAACCCTGATATCATATTTCGGATACTGCTATCCCGAAGTTTCTTGGGAAAATTCTGAAACTAATCAAACGACGTCGAGCAGTCTACAAATGGTGTATATGGCGGATCATATACCAAGGACGCTTAGGTAAGTTGCCGATAGTCAGTTAATACCAGGTCTTCTCCAATATGTGACCTCGTGGGGTCACCAGGACTCATTGTCTCGTCTCTACGCCAGCGGTTGGTACAGAGGCTATATAAACACTTTCACTACAGATGCGTTCAGTCGCGTCAGCCGCTACCACTCTGAACTGACGGTGCGCGAGAGTCGTATGCGAATCATAAGTGCAAAGTGAGACTTGGGTGTCGTGGAATTTCCTTTTTTTCGTGAGCAAGGTGAGTTCTTCGACAGTTCAAAATTTTAAAAACCTAAAATATAATAAAATTTTGTTTTTATTTTTCATATTCCAAATGTATCTAAAAAATAAATTAATAAAAATATATTATTTTTTATGTTTCTATTGGTAAATAAAATATATTTAAATAATAATAGTTAGTTATGTTATACTACATATAGAAATTGTGTAACCTAAAACCATGTATTATGTTTCATAATACTTTGACAATGACAAAATTAAGGTATTCGCACTTAGAAGATAACACAATCCAATTATGCGCGCGCGCATCCGCGGCACACATCAAAAAGACATCAACGAGCGCACAGCGTGAGAAAACGCCGAAAGCTTGCGCCCTTATAACGCAGTATTGTAATAATCACAGTTCATAACAGAGCTGACCAACTGTAGCATACGAGTATATATTTTAAAATGTACGATCCCTATGATTTCAGTTGTAAACACAGTTTATAATCAATAGGAAAATATGTAAATATCGGGCCACATGTTCTGACGGTTTTTCCACCTTCAATAGATGTACCACTGTGACTAAAAGCTTTGCGTACCTTCTGAAGGACATAGATAATTCATTTTTGGTCACTTAACCTTTGCCTTTGCGATAGTTGAATTCATAGAGTCACTTTTAACTCCTATATTCCTATAATGAATCCCCATTATAAAGTGTACTATAACATATCACACTGTTAATATGTGTAAATTGGGAAAACAACTCATTAATTCAAGATTTTCAAAGTAAATTTTTAGATAGATAGAATAAGTAGAATTTTCTTTATTGCATTTTTTTACGTTTTTGTCAAAATTTTTCCAATCAACCTTTATATAAAGTTCAAATAAAATTGTTATAAATTTAAAATACTTTATCAACATAATGATATCACAGGCCATTGAAATTGATCATAGTAAATAGAAATAAATAAATAATGATAAATACTGACCCAACAATTAATTTTGGTAACCCATCCGATGACCTACCAATGTCAAAGTCCCTTAACAACCGTAAGCGAAATGCGCTCACTAGTGTGTAATAATAATTGTTAACGATTGAGCAATAAACAAGAAAACAATATTAGATCCATCACCATGATCTATATCAATAATCCTTAACCTATGTAAAACCCATCAATGCCTACTTTAAAACCTTCTGCTTTACGTACATTAAATCAATTAATTACGAGACAATTTAGACCTTAACTCGACACAGATAGGGACACGTATCTAAACCTCAAACTGAATAAATAATATCACACTAAACAGCGTTACTATAAGGTTCAGAACGATTCATTCTTCAGCGTATATTCGACCTTTGTTGTTATCCACATGCCAATAGATTGTTCAACGAATATTAACTACTAAGTTTATAAGTATAGGACTAAAAGGAATTTGCGAAATATCTACTAACATGACATTTATAACGATTAACACTATTTGATATGGAATTATAAATTTTAGCGTTTAAGCCTGCAATAAGACCGGCTAAGAAGGCCCATTGCTTCGTCTATTTTTTAAAGACCTTCAAAACTATTCAATATATCGTCGATTTTGTTCAAAACAGAAAAGCCATTATTAAAATTCATTTTAAAATATAATACTACCAATTTTGGGATGCCGCATGTGGGCCTTCTTAGACCCCAATAATTTCGATAGTTGAGCAACATAAAATATAAAAAAAATTGAATATTTTAACGAAATGTTGCCGGAAAGGTGAAAGCTTCAATATTATAAACTAATTAGAATAGCTTCGATTGCAAAAAGAAACGTAGGACTGACCCAAACTTATTTTAATTGGTTTTAATCAAACAGGCTTTTAAACTGATGGGCGTTATTAGGCAGCAATGCCCATATATTTTTCGGGTCACCCTCAATCATTCATAGCACTCCTTAATTTCAGCGTTAGAGCATTGACATATTTCGTTAAAGTTCAAACAATTACTCAAATCATACGTGGGATATGAGAGTTAATATACTATATTTTAGAGAAGGAAGAATTTATTGTTTTTTGTTTGTTCGTTTGCATTAAATCGACACGTTCGCCTAGGGCACAGCATAGAAGACAAGTGTTACATAGGCCACAATAAATAATTTACAGGGTGAAAATAGCTAGTAGTTGATAAAATCATAACTGGACTGAATTTATTAATAAAAATATCTTATATAAAACTGTTAACAGATTATATAATTTATATCTGAATAATTAATTAATTTTGAAATATAAGTTCTTTTGCTAATACCAGTAAAGTATATTTTAAGCCTCCGCAGTCAAATAAATAAATCAAAAATCAATTCGTCTGTTTTGATATGGACATAAAACTCAAATCAATCTCGTTAATGAATTGAATTGAGCAAATTACGGTCTGCACGATCGATCAGTTGCCTAATTAATAGTAGTGATGATAGGTAGCCTTTGTAATATTCAAGATGCGTGTTGAAATAGTGTGATCGCTATCTAATATATGTACTTTATTGACGGTATTGAAAACTTATGTATCACATTTAAATATGATTTTACAGCGTTAACAAATACACAAATTAATTACAATAATAATAATATACTTTATATAACACAACGCTAACGCTGAACAGAACAGCAATAAAATTTTAAAACTTTTAACACAAATCATATTTTAAAGCGTCCATCTCGATGTGCGTCTGATAGTACATGACGAGCCGAGTGACCTGGATAAAACCGCGGATACTCTTAGCTAATTAACAGCTGATCGTAGATAACCTAACAATGCTGGTGGAATTCCAACGAAGCTGTCAGCGTACCAAAGTTGAAAGGCCGTGTACACCATACCCAGAAATGCAGCCAAAGCGGCGTCTTGAATTGAATTGTATTCTCTTCCAGTGAAATTATAAAAAAGTGAAATATATATATATATATATATATATATATATACTGTATGTTTCATTTATGGTAATCTTAATCTATAGATCATGTTTATTCTTTCAACTACAAGAAACTTCATCATATGCGGTTGACATAGGCTAGAATCATTATATACACCTGTAAACGATATTCATTGAAATGATAAATAGTTGTATAGAAAACTAGAGTATCCATAAGTAAATGTGCAATTGTAGAGATAAATATACCGCTCACGTTTACTTTTATACTTCCGAATATAAACTTTATAGCGATTGTCTTACTTAATCTAACGTCTAGTGTCCCTAATGTCCCTAATTTAGTTTCTAGTCGGGTTAATGTAGAAAATATTTTCTATATGACGGGGTCCAACCATAAAATTCCAGTGTAACTATTAAATAGTGAACTTGGTGTCTGATCAAGAGATAATGTGGAAAAAATCACAATTATATGTTAGACTAGACATACAAACGGTCTTTGCATTGTCAATAAATATGTTAACCTCAAGCTCAAACCTCAAGTGGTATGTTGTGTAAAAGAAGAAATTGCCATAAACACTGACTACTATACGAGTCGGAGGTATATGAATATATCTTAATCATATTCATTGCGCCTCTTTAAAATCTCAAAAGAAAGTAAATTTACTCGATTACAAAGTACGTGAAATTTAAATGCATACTAAATGTATGTAGTTTTGCGTATACACAACGACTAGCATAAAATTAATAACAATTTCTATTCACAATGTCTTTTGTACTTCGTATAGTTCAGTAACTCAAAACTATTGAATTAACTAAAATAGACCATATGAGTTTAAGAATAAAACTTTTTAGTATTGACAAACAAATGGAACCATAAAGTAAATTGAACTTTCATTTATATAAATAACTCTGTAACATTATTATTTTTTATCAGTGCCAATTTATTTTGTTGTCGTTAGTAAATAGATTATTTTTTCCAAATTCAATATAAAACCGATAATTTAATTTTAATCCTTACGTTTATTTTATGGAATAATTTTTGCACCACATCCTTTAACGTGTGTGAGTACAAAAGTTAATTTCACCCTTTTATGGGGTTAAAAAGGATAAGTTTGTATAAAAAATCGGTTAAGTTCCGTTTTGAAGCTAAATTGATATTACAGTATTTGATTAGAAATAAAGATTGACGTATTTCTGGATTACAGAAAATTCTACCATTAAAAAGACCAGCATAGTTTGCCCATGTATTCTCCATGTTTGGTTAAAGTCATATTTTTAAATGATAGGGTTATTGTAATTTATAAAAATAAAGCAATATTTAATATTTTAAAGTGAAATTATTTGGTTTCGTAAAAGAAAATTAATACTTTTTATACGTTATGTTTCATATTAATGATGTGACTTATGTCATTGATAGTTAACTGTTAATATGTAATGTAATACATCGACGATACTTGTAATTATTCAACACACGTAATCAGCCTGGGGCTTATCTCGCCGATATCTCTGTACCGTTTATGTTCCAACAAAGTACTTGTGCAGTACATCACTGAGATTATTACATACGTTATGATCTCGCTATTTAAAGATCGATTCATCAGTTAGAAAGGTTGATGGAAACATTAGTTAAGGAAAGAGAATATTTTAAGGCTACCTATTATGGTCTATCTATGGGATTGTTGATATTTATGAAAGGAAACCGAAATAGAGTATTCGGGAATTTATATCTTACGTATATACATATTGTGAATGAATTTAAAACAAAATTCTTAAGGAAAATAGAATAAAATCTAAATAAAAAATAATAAAGTGGTTTAATAAAGGTATTGGGTGTTTTATTTACGAGTATTAATTCGCTTATACTAATTTAACTCTTTATCGCTCTCTCAATTTGTATATGAAAAAGTTATTAAGTTCCATTAATAAATCAATGGTAAACTAAATAAAAACCCACAAACCTGATTCCAATAAATTACGAAGTTGAGCAATTATATTCATAAAATCTAACATTCAAATGCAAGATCAATTATTTCGTAATATTACATAAAAAAAAATATTTACAACCGTAGAGGTCGTGAACTTCGAATTTATCGCCATTACTAGCTCACAATGATTATATAAGTAAACACATGTACC